CCTTTCCTTTCCTTTCCTTTCCTTTCCTTTCCTTTCCTTTCCTTTCCTTTCCTTTCCTTTCTCCTTTCCTTTCCCTTTCCTTTCCTCTTTCCCTTCCTCTCCTCTTTCCTTTTCTCTCATCTCCCCTCCCTTCCTTCCTTCCTTCCTTCCTTCCTTCCTTCCTTCCTTCCTTCCTTCCTTCCTTCCTTCTCTCTCTCTTTCTCTTTTCTTTTTTTTTCTTTTCTTTTTGCTTGCTTTCTGTTTTCCAGACAGGGTTTCTCTGTGTAGCCCTGGCTGTCCTGGACTTTGTAGAGCAGGCTGGCCTTGAACACACAGAGATCCGCCTACCTGTGCTTCCCAGCGTGCTGGGATCACAGGTGTGAGCCACTGCCCTGGACTTTGGTCCCATTTTCTATGTGGAAATTGGCAGCCAAGAAGAGGGCAGAGTGAAAGTTGACAATGGATTCTATTTTAAGAATCCCCAAGTCTGCGGAGCTGTGGTCCCTAGAGTGGATACCCATTGCCACCCGGGCTTTACTTACTGTTTAATCTATGTGCTTCACAAACCCACTTAAGTGAAACTGAATACAAAAACACATAGCCAACAAATAGGATTCTATACATTTTATAAGTCAAATCACTTAAACATTGTTACAAATTCAATTAAATCCTCCTGAATATTTTAATGGAGTCACAAGTCTGATAGGTCTGCTCCTTTAAAAGCTTTGAACATTTTGATAAAGCAAACCCATCACCGCACACATTCTACAAGTTTTGTCTGTGTGCATGTGTAACGGTCCGTGCAGCCCAGGCAGCTCTCAACTCCGGATCTTCCTATTTCAAGTGCCGACTTTACACGTATGCCACCATACTAGACTGGGCTGCGCAGTCTTAAACCTCCACTCCACCGTTGGAAAAGTGAGTTTGTACATTACGAAATGGATGCTCTCTCACTCAGACCAAATTTTGAATTTGGTTTTCAAATTCAAAAATGAAAAAAAAATTAGGATACACAACTGTGCGGCCTAAAGATCAGTTATTTGTTTCTGGGTCATAAGAAAAGAGGGAACATTCTCTCCATGGGAAGGAAGTCTTGGACTAGCAACCAATGAATTCTTGGCTAGGTAGGAAATTATTTTTCTTCTAAGATGATTAAACCTGTGTGTGTGCATGTGTGTGTATGTGTGTGCATGTGTGTGTGTGTGTGTGTGTGTGTGTGTGTGTGTGTGTGAGTGTTGGGGAGCTGGAGGGATGGCTCAGTGGTTAAGAGCGCTGGCTGCTTTTGCACAGGATCCAGCTGACATTCCCGGCACCCGCATGGTGGCTCATAGCTCCAGTCTCAAGGGCTCTGACACCCTTTTCTGGCCTCTGAGGGAACTGTATGCATGTGGTGCACAGACAAAACACCCATCCGAATAAAACAAAAATAGCCTGAAAAATAAGACAAAACAAGACAAAACCTGTGTTGGCGCTGATCTTTATCTTGGTTGTCTCAGACTCACATCTCTCCGCGTGATGGGTGAATTGCGCCAAGATTCAAAGTCTGTGGTATGCAGATCTCCCAGAGCCCCTACCCTAATCACCAAGATGTCTCCATGTGCTGTTACACCGAATGGGGCTTTGCATACACACTGCAGGTGAGGACCTTAAAATAGAAAGTGTTCTGCACATTCTGGGTGGGTCCAGATTCCTGAACTTTTCCCGTGGAGGTCAGAAAGATGTGGCAGGCAGGCATAGGCTGGAGAGAGGCAAAGGGAGGGGCCGGGACTGCAGCTTTTGGCTGGAAAACAAAGGGGTCTGGGGATATCAGTGCCACAGCTCTGAGGAGCAGAATTCTAAATGAGTTTGAAAGTGGTTTCTTCCCTCTTCTTCCACCTTACTTCAACTCTGTGAACCTTGATCAGAGAATAGCCATGCTCTGTAAGACTGTTGACATACAGAAACTGCAATAAACAAACAGCTTATACCGCTTGGTAGTAACAAGCTAATCCAGTCTATTATATTTTGAAAACCTCCCAATGCCAAATTCTTCTTCTTCCTTAATGTAAGACTCCTGACTTTTAGCTGGACATAGTTGCCTAGAATAAGCCCTGTGGGCTGCAGAGATGTCCCAGTGGTTAGAACACTTGCTGTGCAAGCCTGATGACTTGGGCTCAGGTCCTTAGAACCCACATTTAAGCCAGCCATAACCCATGCATCTGTAACCCCTGTGTTCCTAGGGGAAGATAGAATTTAGAAGCTTCCAGACCAGCTAGCTTGGTGTATGCAGGGATAAATTAGAGTTCCTGTCTCAAACACGGTAGGTGCAGACCGACATCCAAGGTTCTCCTCTGACTCCCTCCCTCTCTCTCTCTCTCTCTCTCTCTCTCTCTCTCTCTCTCTCTCACACACACACACACACATACGACCCACGATGCATACACATGGAAAATACTACAAAAAGATAAGATTGTTTCTTAGCCTGTCCTGTCTTGGTGTGGCCAAGTGTGACTCCATTCTGGCAATGAGGTGCAGTCAGAAATGGTGTAGGCAGCTGTCAGGACACCTTTTAAGGAAGGAGCCTTGTCATTTGTTCTCTTGCTCTTTGCAGTACCTCTAGAAAAAGGGGATTGGGCTGTCGGGATTTTAAGTAGCTATTCACCCTGAACATCCCGGCTGCAGATTCTTCAACATAAAGCAGAATTGATTTCTTACCTTGTTTAAACTATTCTTCCTGATCACAAAGTATGGGCTCCTCCACCTCTTTCTCACCAACACCACCTCCCTTCCCCCTCCCCCGCTGGGTTTCAAACCTGGTGCTTCATGAACATTAGCTTCTGCCTCTGAGCTACACCTCCAGCCTCATTTCTCTTTCTCTTTCTTTTCTTTCTGCTCTCTTTCTTTTAAGACAGGTCTTACCATGTAGACCTGGCTTGCCTGAAACTCACAGAGCTCCACATGCCTCTGTTTCCTGAGTGAACATCCTGATTTTTATTTTAAAACCACAACCTTGTTCTGGTATTTATTTAACTTGAGTACTATTTTCCCCGGTTAGCTGGGTGGTAGTGGCGCACGCCTTTAATCCCAGCCAGCACTCTGGGAGGCAGAGGCAGGCAGATCTCTGAGTTCAATGCCAGCCTGGTCTACAAAGCAAGTTCCAGGACAGCCAGGGCTACACAGAGAAACCCTGTCTCAAAAAAAACAAACAAACAAAAAAAAAAAAAAAAAACCCTTGACTGTTATGCTCAGTTTTGAATTTATTTTCTCTTCAACAAGGCATGTGTGCTTCAAACCTGTAATCCCTGTTCCAAACTGCACTCTCCCTAAGGTAAGGAGTATAGTGTTTTACCAACCACAGTTCTCCAGCTGCTCTAGACAGATCTATTCATACTGGACCATCAGGACAATGGGATGAAAGAGAATTTCTGATGCTGGAGGGAGAGTAGTTGGAGGGATGAATCATGGACTCCCAAGGTAGCAGGAAAATTAAGAAGGAGAATAAGATAGTATAACTGTAGAGAAACAGTGATGGTGGGGACAGGCTACACTCAGCCGAGAAGTAGCTGGAGGAAGGAGGTGTCAGTCAAGAGTGGGGCATGACTGAAACTCAGATTTCAGAGGTGGGGCAGTTCTAGGAGGTGGCCAAGTAGGAGGGCATAGGGTCACTGATATGTTCCGTGGCTCATGTGTGACCTTTGACCGTGCCTCCAGCTCTGTATACCTGCTCTAGTTTCCTTGTTTGTCAGAGCAAACACACACACACACACACACACACACACACACACACACACATCAGAGCCTCAGGCTCGTCAGGAGATGAGGGCCAGAGTCCATTGGGACCTGGCACAGATGGATGGCAGGATTTCTGCCCACTGACTGTCCCAGTTTATCTGCAGAATGTTTATCATGTTCAGGGTAGGCATGTGCCCCCATCCTGTCTCTCCAGCTATGGGTGCTCTGTGGCCCTCCCCACACTTCTTCTTGTGGTTGAGCTGCCAGCCCCTGTTCATACGGTGCTGGCTGAGATCTCTCCTGCTGGCACTCCTCACAGGATGGAGCCTGCGGATTCTATGAGGCTGGTCCATCTGGGCCCCTGTGGGAGCCTGTCAAGCTTACCTGTGCCACCTGTCACCAAATAGCACTGAGCAGGAAGCTGGGGTGGAGAGCAGAGGAGTGGAGAATGAAGCAGTGATAGCCTTCCTTGTGCCAAATCCTGCTTTCAGCCCGAGCTGCAGGCAGGAGGCTGGAAGGGCAACTTGAGCAGTAGTGGTGAGGAGATTCCATAGCACTGCTCTCTTCTACTCTTAGCCTTGGGTGTTTCCCACAGGGTCACATGCAAGGAGGGGCCTTTCTCTTGCTCCATACTTGTTTCTGGGGCAGGGGAGGGCAGAAGGGTCAGATGCTAGCTATCTGTCTTTTAAAGGCATGGGTCTTCAGAGTGGGAAGATGAGGAAGCCGGAGAAGCTTGAATACTTCCAGCCACCCAGAAGATTCCCCCGACGAAGGCGCAGGGACACCCGGTCCCCAGGGTCCAGGGGAAGCAGCACAGAGCTTGTGGCTGCCTCTCGGGTCACATCAGGGTCGTTTGCAAAGGCTGAAATGACTGGCCACGTGTTCAGCATCAGACTCACCTGTGGAGGGGAGCGCCGTTAGCACCTCTGCCCCTTCCCTTAGCTCAGGACCCCCATCTTCCCACAAGCTTCCCTTGGAGAACCCGACGCTCAGTGGGCTGGCCTGTGAGAAGTGAGCAGTGGCCAGTGTTGGGCTCTGTACCTGTGCCATACCCTGCTAGCCAGGGCCTTTCCCCACTTGCTCCTGGTCCCAGGATACAGGTCACTAGAAGGGCTACCCAGGGAGGTGCTACGTTCCACTGTGACTCTTCCTTCCCCCTGGAGGTGGGCTGTCACCTGGACAGTTTGGCGATTGTACACCTTTACCACATGGAATCGGAAGCTGTAGACTCCACGGACAGGAGCCACGAAGCAGCCTGAGGTCCGATCAAAGCCACCACCCTCATTCACCAGGACCTGTGGGAAGCAGATCCTGTTGAGTGGGATTCTGGGTGCCTGGGCCTGAGGGACATCACTGGGGTTGACATTTGCGCAATGAGTAAGGAAAGAAGAGGTGGCAAACAGGTGTGGCAGGGATTTGTAGATTCAAAAATTATGAGAAAGGGCTAAGATGGCTGAGTGTTTGAATGAAAGAAGGCTAAGCAGTTGGTGGCAAACGAAGGTGGAGCGAAAGATGCAGGAAATGGTTCTCTTGAACTCTGAGGGATACAAAGGGGGCTTGGAAGGTAGAGTCCGGGTCCTTGCAAGTCTCTGGACGGGGGCAGGGGGGTTACCTGGTCGAAGTAGATGGCCCCACTGGTTCCATTGCCGGTTTCCCCTGCCGGTTCATGGTGGTGGCTTCGGACTGCAGCAAAGGCCACTCGTCCTGGTGGTGCCTCTCCCAGGGCTGCTCCCCCAGGACCCCCTGCAGCAGGTCGACCTGGCTCACAGACCACCAGGCACTCCCCCTCCAGCAGGACAGGCTCCGACCCTTCTTGGGCACACCCAGCTCTGAGGCTCAGAAGCATCAAGGCCAAGGACAGCCTGGGGCCATGCTGCTTTGTTCCCATTATTGCTAGGCCCCCCTGTAACCCACAGACTTTCCTGTCTCTGTCCCCCGTTGCTCTCCCTCCTTTGCTTCAGGCCTCCGCTTGGCCTGATGCTCTGTTCTTTCTGTGGTCTGTCAGTAGCCTGGGCGCTTCCCTCCTTCTATCTGTCTGTGTCCCACAGCTCTGCTTGGCCTTACCCCTGCTGTCACTGCAGTTCCCTCCTTCTTGGCAGAGCGTGGAGTGGAGTGACAGCAGTTGGCCTCTAGGAGGGAGAGGAGGAATGGAGACAGGACACAAGGGCTCTAGCCACAAAAGGGCGAGTGTATATACACACACACACACTCATGTGTGAAATGAAGTTTGTTCAATTCCTTCCTCATCATCTCCTTTTCAGAATTATTCACAGTCTTTCTTTCTGCTGCAAGGTGTGCCCCCATCTTCCCCACAATATACTTGGTGATTCTCTTGTGACTCTGGACCAGTCACTTTTCCTCTTGGAACACCCAAGGACCCCAGGAACGGGAGGAGGAGAACGTGAGAGTAGGCGGGAGGCGTTGGGGTGGGAGGGAGAGTTGGTGACAGAGTAGGCCCCGCAGGGGACGTGGTGGGCGGGTCGTCGGCAGAGGGACAGCAGGCGGAACCCGCTCAGGGCGGGCGCGTGGGAGGTGCACAGCTCTCCCTAGAGCTGCCAGCGCGCCCTGGCGTGGGAGGAGCCGGGCTGACTCCGCCCCAGGCCGGGAAGTGACTCCAAAACCAGAACGCGATGTTGACGAGAGAAGTGTAGGTTGGGTGAGGAACACGAGAAGGCCCTCCCAGATTCGGGCCCCCAGCCCCAGGCTCCTGGATCGCAGGAGAAGCGCGGGGGGCCCCGAACCCCTGGAGGAGCGGGCAGAACTCGCGGCTCTGGCGGTAGGCGCGCCCTCCTGGAGCTGGGGAGCTGGAGGCCGCGGCGGGAGGGTGGTCGGGCTGGGGGTGGCGGTCGCGGCAAGCTGTGGGAGGGTGGGCCATGCCCCGGGCCCCGGGTGGGGCGCTTGGCTGTGGACAGCTCCGAGGAGGGGAGGCGGGGAGGTGGGAGTGGCTAGAGAAGGAATATGGCAGACAAGGGCACTCCCTCCCTCTCAGGACTACACAGTTACAGCCTCCGGCCAGTAATCATTTCTAGAGAGGCCCTCCTCTGCTCGAAAATCCGAGACCTCTCAGCGTTGGGGCTCTTTCCCCACCCACCCACATCTTGTGATCCTCAGAATAAGCTGGAGGCCCCTTCACCCTTCCCCTCTCAGGGCGGTGGTCATCAGTTTCCTCTGGCCGGTCGCCCATCCCCAGATAGCCTTGTTTACGAAGGACTTTGGGAGAGGCCCGTGTACAGATAATTTTCTCTCCTCTCCACCTGCGAGGAGGCCTTGTGCCTCCTGGGGTTGTTTACCAGTGCTGTGACTAGGTGCGACCTGTTGGTTGTTGGGTGTAGGCCGTGTGACTAGGCTTCGGGCTGAAGGGAGACAGAGACTGTGAGCTTGCCTCTGCCCTTCCAGGTTCCCAGGAAGAAGCCATGTCCGTTTGGGGGTTTGTTTCCCCGACGCCTGACCGCTTTGCGGTGTCTGCGAAGGCAGAGGACAAGGTTCGGGAGCAGCAGGCCCGCTTGGAGCGTATCTTCAGCGTGGGAATGAGCATCCTCCCCAAAGACTGCCCAGAGAACCCTCACATCTGGCTGCAGCTGGAGGGCCCCAAGGAGAACGTCAGCAGAGCCAAGGTGAACTCCTCTCCCTTTTAGCGCCGCTGCCTAAAGGAGGAGGGGTTGAGGAGGACCTGTGCCTCTTTGCTATCTTATTGGCTGCCTCTGTCCTGAGCTTTGAGGAACTCAGCAGGTCTTTTTATTTAGAAATTCGGTTTCACTTCTGCTGCGGTGGCCCAGGTTCTGCAGGTATTTAGAAACAAATCACGTTGTGCTCTTGGGATGGTAGAGTAATCCCACTGTACAGTTGGGTCCTGCTAGGGAATCCACCGGGGGTGAATTCTCATTTTTTTCCTTTGGCATCAAGGCCAGTACGGCACCACTGCTTGGCAGCCCTCTGATTTATTCTTCAATTTGTCTACAGCGGGAATAGTAACAGTATCTGCTTGGATAGTGCAAGTGCTTGGAGCTCAGGGGCAACAAGGAACCTGAAGGGGATGGCTTCTAGAAGTTTCCTCTCTGACTTTCCCATCTAGGAATACCTGAAGGGGCTCTGCAGCCCAGAACTGCAGAGTGAAATCCACTACCCACCCAGACTGCACTGCGTCTTTCTGGGAGCCCAAGGCTTCTTCCTTGACTGCCTGGCTTGGAGCACGTCTGCCCACCTGGTGCCCCTGGTTCCCGGCTCCCTGACGATCAGTGGCCTAACTGAGGCGTTTGTGATGGCTCAGAGCCGGGTGGAGGAGTTGGTGCAGCGGCTGAGCTGGGAACTTCAGCTGCAGTCTTGTCTGGGTGCCACCGACAGCGCTGGGGTGCTGAGAGGCTTCTCTGCCCTGCTGCAGACTAGGAAGGATGCCTACACAGAGGCCCTGCTGCAGCTGCCCCTGGCCGTCCAGGAGGAGCTCCTGAGTCTGGCACAGGAGGCCTCCAGAGGGCAGGGTCCACAGGCCTTGCCCTCTCTCGAGGCGGGGGGTCCAGGCCTGTCCAGTGCTCAGTTCCAGGGAGTCAGGGCTACCTTGAATGAAGGTGGGGGACCCCTGGGCACTGGAGTGGTGGGGTGGGGAGAGCCAGGGGCAGCAAAAGGAGAAAGTCACACCGTGGAGAAGGAGGGAAGGAAGCAGGATGGTATCAGGGACATGGATTCTGGGTGGAGGGCGCTGTCTGGGGAAGAGGTCTGGGAGAGGGGAGTGGCTTTTAGGCCCCAGCCAGCAGGTGGAGGAGCAGGGGAGGTGGCACCCCTGAAAGGAAAGGCCTTGGGGAAACAGGAGGTTCCTCAACAGAGAGAGGGGCTCAGTGGGCAGGGTGAGTCCGGTGCCTATGTGCCATGCCAGAGGGCAGCGCCAACCCGGGGAGCCTCTCTCCTCCAGCGGCTCCATAATGGGAACGCCTCACCTCCGAGAGTGCCTAGCCCTCCGCCTGCACCGGAACCCCCGTGGCCCTGTGGAGATCGGGGAGACAGGGGAGACAAGCAGCAGGCTGGGGCTCGAGGTCGAGGGTCTCCATGGAAACGAGGCACTCGTGGGGGCAACTTGGTGACTGGCACACAGCGGTTCCAGGAAGCCCTGCAGGACCCTTTCACCCTGTGTCTTGCCAATGTGCCTGGCCAGCCAGATCTCCGTCATATTGTCATTGATGGCAGCAACGTGGCCATGGTGTAAGTAGCAGGAGGGAGGATGAGACAGGCGTCTTTTGTCTGTTTTGGAGACATCTGCTGAGGGGCTGAGCCTGTGGCCTCCTCTGGGTCCTGAGTGTTGACTTCTTTGCGTTGCAGGCATGGCCTCCAGCACTACTTTTCCAGCCGTGGCATCGCTCTTGCTGTGCAATACTTCTGGGACCGTGGGCACCGTGACATAACCGTCTTTGTGCCTCAGTGGCGCTACAGTAAGGATTCCAAGGTCAGAGGTAAGTTGGGTCTGATGTTGTGTGTCCTGGGTGAGGCTGCGTCGACCTTGAGGGGAACCCGGTTGTCTCTTGTTCTACAGAGAGTCACTTCCTGCAGAAGCTGTACTCCCTGAGTCTGCTTTCCCTGACACCCTCGCGAGTCATGGATGGCAAGAGGATTTCTTCTTACGATGATAGGTATTTGCTCCTTTCCTGGCCCAAAGTTTGATATTCAAGGAGTCTAGTGGGATGTGGAGTAGGAGAGAGATGCTCCTGACCTCTGTCCTCCGCTCTGAGTGATGGAGTTAGCTGTGGTGGGACAGATGATGGGGTAGGTACATCAGCTTTGCGGGCAAGATGAGATGGGCAACCGCTGTTTGCCTGCTCATTATTCACCTTGTATTTGTATACAGTGCTTTATCACCTAGAAAATACTGGTGTAACGGAGAGCTGGAAAAGCTGGTGACATAAACAGCTGACCATTTCCACTCGTAGAGAAATTCTTTGGACATTCCGGGAAAGGGAGAAAAATAAGATGCAGAAACACAATCTTTGAATACTAGGGTGTCTAGAACACGGTGCAGTGAGAGATTGCCAGACTCAGAACGGAAGGGACGGTTAGAATTAGAGCTCCAGGTTTCATTATTGATCTGCTTCTTCCGTGGCCTCAGGCCCCCTTCTTAGTCAATTAACCTCTTTGTCTCAGGATCCTTCTCCATTCATTCACCCTCCTTGTGACTATCAAAGGAAGATAAGGTATGTGCTTGCCTCATTCCTGGTGCTAAGCAAGAAGTCTAGTGACGTTCCCTCCTAACATTGCATGGGCCCAGTTAAGTGTTGCATGAAGCTGGGCGTGCTAGTCAACACCTGTAATCCCAGCACATGAGAGACGGAGGCAGGATAATCCCCATTAATTTGAGGCCAGCATGAGCTACAAAGTATGTTCCAGGCTAGCCTGGACTACAGAGTAAGACCCTGTCTCGATAAACTAAAAAGAAAAAAATAAAGGAAAAAATATTATAATCTTTACATAAAATACAATTTTTACATAAAATATTATTGCTATTTACAGAAGTAGAGACAGCTGTTAAGTGGCTAACTCCCTTGACAAAAGAAAATTAGGATTTAAAGTTACCGTATAGGGTAAGCAGAAAACGTGGGATATATTCCTGCCACACTTACACACTTGGTGTGGAAATATATGCATTCTTAAATTTTAAAATTAAACATTTTTAAAGTTTTAATTAGCGATTTAAATCTTTGTAAAAATTACTTTTTATGTGTAGCGTTTTGTCTGCATGTATGGATTGCATCATGTGCATGCCTGACGCCCACGGAGTCCGGAGAAGGGCGTCAGGTCCTCTGGCGCTGTCACAGGCCATCGTGAGCTGCCTGCTGGGGATGCTGAGAGCCAAGGGCTTTTAACTTTTGAGCTGTCTCTCTGCCCTATTTAAAGTCTCTTAACAACTGTAGGTACTGATTCCTTAGGACATTATTCAGTTTTTAGAAATTCGTTTCCAAATCATAGTGATTTAGTTTTCTTTCCTGTAACTGCGATACAGTACTCTGAAAAGGGCAACTTAAGGGGCTGGAGCAATGGCTCGGGGGTTCAAAGTGCTTGTTGCTCTTCCAGGGGACCAGTTTGTTTCCCAGCACTCACACCAGGCAACTCACATAGCTCCAAGGGAATGAACATCCTCTTCTGGACCTTCTGGGGCCACGAACATATGTGTACAGACACATACAACCAGGGCTGGACCCTTGGGCCACATGGTGAAGGAGTGAACCGACTTCTGCAAGTTGCTCTCTGATCTCCACATATTCAGTGTGTCACATATATGTGCTCAGGCACACACACACAATACTGAAGAGGCAACTTTAGGGGGGGTTTAGCCCACTTCAGGTTACCGTGGCAGGAACTTGACGGCACATCACTAGACAGTCCTTCATTGTGAAATCTTCTCAGGTGATTCCAGACTATATTAAGTGGACAAAACTACCCAGGATACTGATTATGTTTTATTCTTTCGGATACTTCACTTTTACTTCCTAGAAGTAAACAGTATTTTATAAAAGGCACTTCCTTTTGTCTTATTTAGGTTTCTATTGCTGTGATAAGTGCCATGATCCAAGGAAACTTGGGGAGGAAAGGGTTTATTTCATCTTAAACTTTCAGGTAATAGTTCTCTCTGATTGGAAGTCAGGACGGGAACCTGGAGGCAGGAACTGGTGCAGAGACTGCAGAGAAATGCTACTTACTGGCTTGCTCTTCTTGGCTTGCTCAGCTCACTTTCTTATACCACCCAGGGCCACCTGCCTAGAGGTGGCAGTTACCCCAAAGGGCCGGTCCTTCCTTTATCAACCAGCAATGAAAATGTCTCCCACGCTTACCTACAGGCAATCTGATGAATTCATTTTCTCAATTGAGGGTCCCTTTCTAAATAACTGTATATTGTGTCAGGTTGACAGAACAAACAAACAAACAAACAAAATGACCAGAAGACTTCTGATGTTACTGGTTGTTTTCTTTTGGACAGGATTTCAGGAGCCCTGGGCTGGATTGGTACTTCATCTGTAGGCCAGGCTGGCTTTGAGCTTGTGGCGTCACTTCTGCCTCCTAAGTGCTGCTATTCTGTTTTAGGCCTTGATTTTAGTTTATCTAGGACAGTAACTTTTTATCCACATCAGCATTGTAACAGAATTGATACTGGAGATGGAGTCAGTTTTAATGCATAGCTGTGTAGAACCTGGTGGGTACATGATGTAAACCTGTAATTTCTCTTCCTTACGGTAAATCAGCATGGTTAGAGCACAACAGGGACTTCCGAGTGAGTGATGCAGAGCAGGATGTATCCGGAGAGTAGTAAACTGCTTAACTAGAAAGCGCCTTTTGTGCACCTCACAGAGCATAGCATCCCCTTGGCTTGTTTCCCAAATATCTGTCATACCTAACCCTGATTTCCATTCTTCTCTGGACCACAATGCCTTTCAGATACTGGCTACCCACTTCAGACTAGTGCATGACTTGGAGAAAGAACTCTGGGGCAAGAGTTGGTCCCTGGCCTCAGAAGGCCCAAACAAACTGAACAACAATGAAACCCCTATTTCAAGTACTACAAGAACTCAGGAAATGGAGCCCTGTTGTGACTGGGGTTTTACAGGAAGGAAGGGGTTGGGGGTTTTTGTTGATTGAGAAGGATGTGCAATGGGCTGAATCTATTTTAAACCTTTCAAAAGTCCACTGCCCATCACCTTGTGAATCTTACTCTTTGGATGCAGAATTATTAAAATGGGACCTGAGCATGGCGGCTAATATCTTTAATGCCAAAACATAGGAGGTAGAGGCAGGAGCAGAGGCAGGGGCAAGATGACAAGTCTGAAGTTAGCTTTAGTTATTTAGTGAGTTGGAGGCAAGCCTGGGCAACGTGAGCTCCTGTCTCAAAACTAAACAAAATAGAACAAAAGAAGAGAATTACTAAAGTGGGCCTCAGGTGTCTTTAAAAAACTTTAAAACTTTGGGGTTGGAGAGATGGCTCAGTGGTTAAGAGCATTAACTGGTCTTCCAAAGGTCCTGAGTTCAATTCCCAGCACCCATGTGGCAGCTCACAATCTGATGCCCTCTCCTCATCTGCAGGCTTACATGCAGACAAAGCACCTGTGTACATAAAACAATAAATCATAAATAACAACAAGAACACTTTAAAGTTGTATTTATTTATTTAGAGATAAGGTCTCCTGTAGTCCAGGCATCAGGTCCACTGAGTACCTGAGGATGACCTTGACCTAATTCTCCTGCTGCTGCCTTCTGAGTGCTGATATTCTGGTTGTATGTTACCATGCCCAGTTTATATGGTGCTGGAGACTAAACCTAGGGCCTTGTGCATGCCAGGTGAGCATTCTTCCAACCAAGCCATATTGCCAGCTCCCAGAAAGGAAGTTCCTTAGGCGGCTTTCATTGTAAAGGCTTAGGATGCCTGAGATATGGGAAACTAAAGGCAGAGAGCAGAGCATGTGTTATGACTATTGTCTGATCGTCAATCTTGGCTGGAGTTGAGGGTTCATTAGGAAATACTGAGAGAGAAAAGGCTGTAAGGATGACATGGAGGTGGGTTCTAGAGGCCCTTAGCTGCCAGGGCTGGACATGTGGCCTTTATTCAAGGCCTTTCACTGTGGCTGGGTTGGGGTGAAGGGCAGGTGTGGAACAGTTCTGTGCAGGGAAGAGCAGGGGAGATTGGAGGATGGTGGATGGTGAGGTAAGGCAGATGAACTGGTAGAAGGCGAGGCAGCAGTCTTAGTGTTAATGTCTGATTATTAGAGTGATTGTGGCCCTGGAAAGGAAGGCAGCGTGGAAAGGTCTGGAGTGGAAGGCTTTTCAGAGAAAGGCAGGTTTGTGAGTGACTGGTGGGGGCAGATGGGAGTTATAGCTAGCTTACTGTTTGTTAGACACAAAGTGTTCAGTGGAGGTGTGTTGAATGATGCTGTTGGGAGACTTGGGTTCTTCACCGTTTCTTCTCCAACTTTGGTGTCCATGTCTAGTCAGTCACCTATAGATGGGTGATGCTGCGGTGGGAAATCAAATATGGAGGCTATAATCCCAACCACTGGGGAGGCTGAGGCAGGACAATTGAGAGTTCAAACCTGCTGGGGCTACAGAGCGAATTGTTCTGACTCTGATTTTCTTTTTTGATTGTTTGTTTTTGAGACAGAATATCTCTATGTTGCCCTGCCTGTCCTGGAACTATGTAGACCAGGCTGGCCTGGAACTCACAGAGATTTGCCTGTCTCTGCCTCCCAAGTGCTGGGATTGAAGGTGTGGCATCATACCTTGCCTATCTCTTATCTGCCCCACCCTTGGTCTGTATCTATTTATCAATTTATCTATCATTTATATATCTATGTATCTATCACCTATGTATCTTATCATCTATCATGTATCTATGTATCTAGTTGTCTATTATCTATCGTGTGTCTGTCATCTATCATCATCTGTCTGTCTTTTATCATTTATCATCTATCTTTACCTATCATATCTATCTTGTATCTATTTATTCTATTATGTCTGTCTGTCTATCTATCTATCTATCTATCTATCTATCTATCTATCTATCTATCTATCTATCTATCGTCTTAGTAGTAAAGTACTTGCCCAGGATGCATGAGGGTCTGTCTGGGCTTAATTCACAAGCAGCCCTCCTTACCCTTCTTCAGTTAAGAAAATGATTTGGGAGACTGACCTCCATCGGCAGAAGTGGGTCACAAGTGTTGATTGCATACTGTGGGATCAGATCTTCGGAGAATCCCAGAATGGTGTCTTTGTTTTTTGAGACAGGTTCATGGTGAAGCTGGCTGAAGAGACTGATGGGATCATTGTCTCCAATGACCAGTTCCGGGATCTGGCAGAGGAGTCTGACAAGTGGATGGCGATCATCAGAGAGCGGTGAGGGAATAGGGCACCGGCTCAGACCTTTCTCTAAACCAGCTCTTCTCTGGCCACTGGGTGAGAATCCTGGGAAAGGGCTTGAAGATGCCTCAAAGGATGATAGCCAGTAGCTCCTGGTGGTGCTGGTCCCAGACACCTGGGAGGTAGGAGAGGTCATCTCTGTGATTTCCTCTTTCCTCATCTAGCCTGCTGCCCTTCACCTTTGTGGGGAACCTCTTCATGGTCCCAGATGACCCACTGGGGCGAAATGGTCCCACCCTGGATGAGTTCCTGAAGAAGCCGGTCAGGTAATGCCCCTACTTGTGCAGGCAGCCTATAGCTCTCTTCTCTGAAGGATGGAGGCATGGTGGGAGTGTCGCAGTTTGGGCCAGCTTAATTCAGGGGTAGTCTTGAGTTTGCTGGCCTGCCCTTTAAAAATCTCCCTAGGGACCTTGACACAGAGCTTTGTACTAGTCAGAGAAACTTATATTTCTTTTCTCTTCTGCTAAGTTTGATGGAGCTATCTGGGAGATGGGTGCATGTAGTGACGGTGAGTTTTAACTCCACACCCTCTGTTGGCTCATTATGGGAGTGATTATATGAGGGTTACATCTCATTAGGGTTCTGTCTTCCTAGCGGGTTGATACTGCCACTCAGTGGCCTGCCTAGGGAACTGCCTCCCTAAAGCTAGAAGTAGGTCAGTTTGGCTCCCTGAGGCCCACTTTCTCTTCAGAGTACTTACTAGTTATTATTTATAATATATATGTATATATGTAATATATATTTGGTTGTTTTGAGACAGGGTTTCTCTGTGTAGCCTTGGCTGCCCTGGAACTCACTCCGTAGACCAAGCTGGCCTCAATCTCACAGTGATCTGCCTGCTTCTGCCTCCCTGAGTGCTGCCATCAAAGGCATGCGCCACCACTGCCCGGCAGCTTATCAGTTCTTATTCTGCTTTTGTCCAGGAAACAGGGCTCTTCTAAAGCTCACCAGCCCTCCAAAGGTCCCAAAGAACATGCTAATCAGCAGCAGGGGAAGGAAGAGGAGAGGGGCAGTGGTGGCATTCGGAAGACTCGGGAGACAGAGCGCTTGCGGCGCCAGCTGCTGGAGGTGTTTTTGGGTCAGGACCACAAGGTGGACTTCATCCTGCAGCGGGAGCCATATTGCCGGGATATCAATCAACTTTCTGAGGCCCTGTTGAGTCTCAACTTTTGAGCCTTTCTTGTGTGCATAGCTGCTGCCCTGTAGAGTCAGCCTCCCAGCCCAGCCCCTTCTGTTACAGTCCCTCTGCTGCTCAGACTGTGACTCAGACTCACCGTAAGATGGTGCTTTGGCCAGAGGAAGCACCAGAGAAGAGGAGCTGAGTGTGGAAATACTCTTGCCTGGGGTACTTTGAGGACAGGGCCATAAAGTGGACTCAACCTGAGGGAGGACTGCAGCCAGCTCTTAGGAGGCTTTGATCAGACATAACTCAACGTTGCCTTTATGAAGGGTTTCTGTAGGGTGTAGAGGCTGTTCTGGAAGACTGAGGCTTCCAGGTTAAATGGGTTGGAGGCTAGGGTAGGCTGGAGGTGGTGAAAGGCTAAGCTGAGAAAACAGGCATCCTCAGGCTGCTCCTCTGAATGGCTAGGATAGGCTGAGCTGTCCCCTGGCAGGGTCTGGAGGACCCAGTGCTGTGTGGGCTGTTGCAGTAGGACAGCAGAGAACTGGAATGCAGAGGGGGTAGGCTTCCAGGCTCAGGTGTGCCTTGCCTGTGACCTTGACAGAGTTGCTTGGCCTCTACTTATGTCTATACGTCAGGCATAAAATAACCTTTGAGAAAGGAGAACACAGAGGAAGGCTCCTGTGAGGAAGTGCACTTGGATCGTGGCTCAGGTATGTCTGCCTGTGGCTGCATAGGCTCGCTAACCAAAACTTGACTCTCAGAGATGTCCACTGTCCACACGCTTGGTTTTGACACTGGGTTTTTATAGAACATGCCCTGTAATGGCTGCATCCCTTCCCAGCAACCTTCAAAACACCCATTAACAGATAAGTTAGGGCTGATTGTTACATTACCTAGATATTCTCAGGGTTCCTATAAGTGGCAGCTGGTCGGTTGCATTTTAAGTGTTTACAAATCATCAAATGTGTCAGGCCCTGGTCAAATCCTCTTTCTGGTGTCGAGTGTACTTACCAAATCCATGAAGTCATGATTTACAGTGACGATGTAGTGGGATCTGATACCTTCTTTATGGAAGACAGGTTTCAGTCAGCAGTACACACTATGTCTTGTGTGTATGGTGAAGAAACTTACTTTCTGGGAAGGAAGCCGAAGCATCAGAGTTGAAAGATACCTGATAGCTCACAGACCAAACTGTTTACATCCTCATGTCCACACGTCATTGTTCTGTACCTGCTTGAATTCTTCCTGTGCTGGGGAATTTTACTACCCACAAGGTGGCACGTTCCCTACCTAGATGCGTTAATTATAGTTTCTCCTCTAGTGTAGTCTAACGTGCTTTCCTGTTATTTCTACCTTCGCCAGGAATAATTCAGAGCTAGTCAACTTCTTACAGACCAGTCAGATTAAGAGGTATAAAGAGGTAGGTGCCCCTGGTTTCAGTTCTTTTTGGGGACCTGTAGCAAGTCCCTGAATTAAATCCTTTTCTGGCTCTACCTTATTCCAAACAACACAGAGTTGACTGTGTGGTATTCCCCAGGCCCTAGCATCTTTGCTTGTTTCACTGGGCAACCTTCATCTCTACACCAGATTGATTTAGGCTTGGTATTGGAGACAAGTTGATCAGGGAAACTCCTCTAGGTGCCAGGGGTGGGGGGGAAGAGAGAGAGAGAGAATGGTCTGAACTGGACGCTGGTAGAACTGCTTTTTAAGTTTGTGGTTGGTTTCTTGCTCTTTTTACTTGCCATGGTGGCGAGTATAGAGAAGGCCAGAATTATCTCCCCTTTTATGCTGAGGGCCTTGGAAGACTGATGAGACGAGTCCTAGGCCTACAGAGGGACACTGACTTTGTCGTACTGTGGTCTGATGAGCCAGAACCTGTATGTACTTGCTGGATTAATTCACTGCTGCTTGGTAAAATACTGAAGGCTAATCTCCAGGCCTTTTCTCCACGTTTGCTGGTATCCTCTGACAGGTGGTCAGGGGGACAACAGAACTCACTGGAAATAGAGCTTTAGTATCTTTAATCTCTGTCATAACCTCTTGACTCACCAGCACATTTGGGAAGAGGCCAAAAAAGGGAAGGATGAGGGGAGAGGATGCGTATTACAATGTTCAGAAACTGCTTAGGAAGAAGAGGCGTCTAGGACAATAGTTCTTAAGATAATTCTAGGAGAATCTAAGCCAAAGAGACAGCTGGAGCTAGTGGTATGATTTATCTTTATTGCCGTAACTATAGAAGTTTCTCTACACAGCCTCTGGGAGGACGGTGGCAACAGTGTGACACACGGAAGCCACAGGAAGTTGAGGAGGTTAAGGTTAGAATGAGAGTACATCCTTGAGACCGGGGTTTCTCAGACAGGCTTAGAGCAACAGAACAGGGGAAGATTCTAAGACCCAGAAGGCTTCTGATCATAAAATATAGGGATCCCCGACTCAGTTCTCAGTATGCAGGAACAGGCCCAGCCCCTGCTTTGGGGATCCTTCTCCACTTAGGCTACGACATCCTTCAAGGCAGCTTGCAGCTCTGGGAAGGAATACTGGTAGCCAGTGGCCAGTGTCCGCCGCGGGACCACTTTCTGGCCTTCCAACAGCATGATGGCACGTTCTCGTCCAAAGACTGCTTGTACCACAGTGCTGGGGACAGGTATGAAGGCTGGGCGGCCCAGGGCAGCACCCAAGGCTTTGGCAAAATCAGCATTGGTAGTGGTAGATGCTGGAGCTACTCCATTCAGGACTCCTTGGACGTGGTTTGCTTCAAGGGCATGATTCAAAATTCCCACCAGGTCACGGATGTGTATCCAGGGGAAGAACTGGTGACCTGAACCAATGGGGCCTCCTAGGCCCAGGCGGAAGGGCAGGAGCATGTGCCCAACGGCACCACCCCCACGGCCCAGCACAACCCCTGAAGCAGACAAGAGGGATGGTATAGGAGGGTTGCTTAGCCTTGGGAACCTGTACTACGGTCATTTCTCTTTTCCCCTCCTCACTTTCTTCCCGTGTGAACTTGGAGTGGGCAGGGTGGGCTGTGGATCTTCTTGGGACTTTCCCTCTGTGGGTTAGCCAGAGTGACAGTCAACTCTCACTGTAAGCGCAGCCCTCCTGGGCCTGGAAATCTTCCACCTCACCTGGTTCCCAGGCCCTTGGTCCTCACCTGAGCGCACCACGACCTGGCGCGTAGACTTTCCTGGGAGCCTGGCTGCTTCTTCCCATTTGGTTACCAGGTTGGAGAAAAAGTCAAAATCCCCTCCTGGGCTGTCCTCATCGTACTCCTTGGTCAGGCTTGGCTGGTAGTAACCTGTCACGGAAGAGCACGCATTTTCTCTGGCAGTCTCTGTCCTGCTCCTCAGCCCCAGTCTCCTCCACCCTCTGAGAGAATCTCGATTCTTTCCCCTGAGCTCCCCCACACGTCCCAGCCTGGAAGTCTAGCCTCTGGCTGCCGGGCTGAGTGCAGAGGCTGCTGGCTTGCAGTAGTTAGCAGGGACAGAAACCTGGCTGCCAGGCTGCTTGAGCTCCACCATTCCTGACATCTGTGACTTTTTGGCAAGTTACTTCTCTGTATGAAAAAAAAATCTGCATCTTCATTAAGGGAGTAACTGTACCTACCTCGTAAGGTTGTTGCAAAAATTAAATAATATAACGTATAAAATATTTAGTATGGTGGCTTATCTTAATTGTCTGCAATTCCTTGGTCTCAAAGGTGATACAATAGGGGCTCTTCCCGGGCCTGGAGAGATGGCTCAGAAGTTAAGAACACTGGCTGTTCTTCCAGAGTTCAATGCCCAGCAACCACATGGTGGCTCTTAACCATATAGTGAGATCTGGTGCCCTCTTCTGGTGCACTGGCACACATGCAGGCAGAATGCTGTATAAATAATAATACACAAAAGCCCATAGGGGCTCTTCATAAAGAACTGTGGTTCAAAAAGCAAGGGGCTTGCGAGTAGGAAGACTCCTTCAGCACTCGGACTGGCTCCACGCCCCTTTCTCTGAGGGCTACCAACAAGGGCTCCTAGCTTTCAGTACCTCCCCGACAAAGCCCACACAGTGACAACACAGGGCCCAGAGCTGCTTTCTCTAATGTGCGAGGTTGGTGATTGGGGGCGTACCTACACCTGTGACTAGTATCCAAGCCAGGGGTGGGTGTGCGGCTTTGGTGATGGCACTGGCCAGCAAGTGGGTGGTTTCCAGGCGGCTGCTAAGAACCTCTTTTTGGAAGGCTTCATTCCATCTGCAGAGAAGATGAAAGAAATGATCACAAGTACAGACGCGAACCTAAACCATATCCTCACTCATCCTTTCCTCTCCTAGTCTGCTCGTTGTTCTACGTCTTCATGCATAACTCTGGGTGGCTAAAACGGACAGGACCCTTCCCCCCAGCTATCTCAACAGGCACGGACCGGGTCTCCTCGTCCACAACACTGGGCTTTATTTGACCCGGGTGCAGAACAGGCTCCAGGGCTCAAGGGGCACTTGCACAGCGTGTGTCTCCCGTCGACCCTCCCCTCCCCCTGGGCAGGTGCTATCTGCTTCACGGCCCTGCTGACCTTCGCAGAGGGTTAAGGATGTTCTCTCCAGCTAGGTTGATGACAACATCGCAGGGGGGCAACCCCGAACTACTGAGCTCACTCTGTGGGAGGAAGCACAGCGTCTGCTGGGAGTCCTTCCTCGCAAATTGCCCTCCCACCTTCCAGAAGCCAGACGTACCCACGTGACTCGACCTGGCCCAGGCTGTCTGGAGACGAACGTAACTTCGTGGCCCCTGCTTCTCAGCAGCTGGGTTAGGGCTGTCCCAATGAATCCCGTCCCGCCACCTGGTGGGAGAACACAGGCTGTTCACTCGGGGGAGGCAGGCCATCTGCTGGCCGCCCCCTGGGCGCGGTGCCATCTGACCCTAGGCCTCTCCTTCGCGCCACCCGGAGGTGCGGAGGTGACACAGGTCACGGGGTTCAGAGATTCAGCTTCTGGGGATGGGGAGCCAAGGCTGGGTTGCCCGCTTGGGGGACCGCGCCCCGTGGGGCTGTTCTCCCAGCTCCCGGCTGCAGCCGAAGCCCGGCCGCCACTCCCTCAGCCCTCCCTCACCTACAAGCACCCGCATAGCGACGGGGAGCTAGCACGCCTGCGCGAGACTTAAACCTCGGACGCGACTACGCGCTCCACCTCACGCGAATTTCAGGATTAGGTGTACCCCACCCCTCCCCCCCCGACCCGGAAGGAGTTAGCGCAATGGAGAAAGGACGTAAATTTTTCTGGGAAGAGAGGTGGATGACGCTAGAAGAGAGAGGGAGGAGGAAGTGCAGAAAGAATGCCAGCACAGGTCTACACCGCAGAGCGCTGGGCGCTCCTTCAGTTTCCGGGCAGGGGCGCTGCGATTTCCCCTTGATCTTTCCTCACTGTTCTGCTCCTCTTGCCAGCGCTCGAAGGTGCTAACGTTTCTTCTCCCGCTGACGTGGGCACTCTGCTTGCTTCCTCGGCTAGGCTCCCACGAGCGTGCGTTCCACCCTCTGCTTCCCTGTTCACTCCGTTTCCGGGCTCCCAGGTCTGTTTTCCAGTTTTAGATCATTTTGATTGATTGCCCAGCCAGAATCACTGCGCTTGTGCCCTCTCTTCCTTCTTTGTGGAAATACTGCGTTTGGGCTTCAGTGGAAACCATACAAGTGTAGTAGACCCTCAGATCTCACCGTTTCTACCACACTTACCACCTGTTTGAGCCAATGCCATCCTTTGCCTGGATTATCATTTCGAGCTCCGTGTGTGTGTGTGTCCCAGTTCTTGCTCCTTTCTTTTATTGTAAGCAGAGCAATTCTTATTAAAACTTAAACATATGCCATTAAAACTCATGCTGAAGCCTTCCAATAAAGTTTGGGTTTAGAGTAAAAGCTGAAAGACCTTGAAAACCTTCAGAGTCTGTGGTGATCTGGTGCTCACGTCTCTATGCCCTAACTTTCTGTCACTCTCCTGTCTGCCTGTCCTGCCTGCTTATGCATCAGGCCCAGTCTCACTCACCAGTCCCTGCCTGAAATGCCACTCTTCTAAAGAGCCCCACAACCTCACAGACTTAGCTTCTGTCATGTATCTAAGCAGTGTCTTATGAGATGTTCTTTGACCAGCATAGTTTCCTTTCTCACCTTTGGAACTTCCTGTCACCCGCACCCTGTTATTTATTTCATACCACTTACCCGATGAATTAAGAGCTCCTCACACGAGCAGGGGTTTTAGCTGCTTTGTTCATTGCTCTATCCCTGAAATTTGAACACCGCCTTCATTTTTACAGATGGTTAATTATTATTTATTGAAGAAGTGAGATTGGTGGTTAGGAGCGTAGTACTTGGAAGGAAAGTTCCTAGACTGAAATCCCAGGTGTTTTCTCTTTTGGTTTTATGAATTTCACAATATCTCATAGTTTCCTTGTCTGTGAAACAAAGATAGCAATGACACTCGCTTCATATGATTGTTAGCAAGACTACTAAGTTATACTGAAAAAAACCTTAGGGGGGCTGGAGAGATGGATAGCGGGTTGAGGGCCTATGGCTCTTGCAGAGGACACAGGTTCAGTTCTCAGCATTCACAATGCAGCTCACAAACATCTGTAACTCCAGTTCCAGGGGATCTAATGCCCTCTTCTGATCTCCAAGGGCACTGGGCGTGCAAAATGGCACACAGATGTGTATGCAGATAAACATTCATATGCATAAAGCAAAAATAAATAAATCTTGAAAAAAATCTTAGAACAGTTCACTGCATGATACAGTAAATGTCAGTCATCTTCATCACCATCACCAGATGAAATTTCTAGGGTGTTAGAAATATGAGAAACTAGAGAACAAAGAACTGGAGGACAAGCTTGATGGAAGCCTTTTCTGGCAGACGTGTTTTCTAAAGATGGCTGCAGTGGTGTCTTACTTTACATGCTGCTCTGGGATCTTGTTCTCAGGAGATAAAATATCTGCTTCTTCCCTTGAGCTCAGATGGGTGCTAAAGGGCAGTGACTTCCAAGACTAAGACATAGGAATGTCACATGTTTCCATTTTGTTGTTTTGAGAACCAACCACTAACCTATGAGGAGGCCAAAACTCACCCACAGGGAGACTGTGCGCAGAGATGCCACAGTTGAGTGTCTAGCTGACAGCCTAATGGGATTCCTAGTCAATAGCAGAAGCAGCTGCCAGATTCGCACATGAAGATGCTGCTAGGTACCTCCTGTCCCTGTGGAATCAGCCTCAGCCTCTGAGTCTTCCTGGATTGGGTTATGGGGAGGGGACGGGTATGGGGAGGGTACCAGAATTCATGGTGCACACACCTGTATAGATTCTTCACCCATGCAAAAGTACCATGACTCTTTAATTAGTGTTTTCTGAAATAGGGTATCTCTGTGTAGCCCTGGCTGTCCACGAACTCCATATGTAGACCAGGCTGGCCTTGAACTCAGAGATTCACCTGCCTTCCAAGTGCTGGATCAAAGGCTTGTGCCACCACTGCCCAGGTCTCCTGTAGCCTAGGATGGTCTGGAATTTGCCAGTAGAGGATGACCCTGAATTCTTGATCTTCCAGGGGATGAGACTGCAGCTGTGTGTTGGAACTCCTAGTGTCCAGAGATGGCTGTTTTATTTTGATACCTGTAGCAGGTTGTAGCATGGTCACAGTAACCGGGCATTCCAGGTCAACTGTTAAAGGAAAGTCAACAGGTAGCAAATATATGCAGGCAGGCAAAGCCAGGCCCAGCCAGGTGGCACAAATAATCACTTCATTTCGAGCCATAATTACTTAAAATTAAGTACCTCATTACTTAAGATTACATAGATTAAGCAGAAGATTCGGTTCCCTTAGCAGCATGGGCTTAGCGGGAGATGGGCAGCTGGACATAATTCTGGAGTGAAGGATGAAGGTGTGGAAGCACCTGGAAGTGAAGTCGTCCTGGAAGTGGAGGTGACTAACCAGAGAGGAAAATGTGTTAAATGTACACAGCTGCCTGCCTCAAAGCCACATTCACAGGCAATGGAACATTTGCTGATTTTATGACATAAGTTTTGGGACCGTTGCAGGATGAACAAAATGTATGTAATGACCTACTATTTGACATCCTTTTTAGGGAACCATTGGGTGAGTGAGGTGGTGAGAAATAAAATATAATTTTATTAGTTAAGACTTTGTGGATGAAACGGTGAAACACATATAAAAAAGTGGAGAGACTTTCTGTTAACGACCACCTGACCTGACTGAGGAGAGAGAGGAAAAAAGACGGGGTAGAAGCTGTTGATCACATACAGAGAGTACGCCTTAAGGAAACAAACAGTTGCAAGTGTCTCATGATGAGGCAATGGCCACTTCCCCCCCTTACTTTAATTTTCTATTTTCTGTGTGATTTTCTATTATTGATGTTTTGCCTGCATGTGTGTCTGTGTGAGGATGTCAGATCCCTTTGAACTGGAGTTACAGGCAGTTGTGAGCTGCCATGTGGGTGCTGGGAGTTGAATCCTGGTCCTCTGGAAGAGCAGCCAGTGCTCTTAACCACTGAGCTATCATTCCAGCACTAGCCAATGGCCATTCTTAATAAGAGGCCAGATCCCACAGCCTGAGGAGGTTAGGCCACATGACCTGCAGCTCCGTGTGCACACTCCCTTCCCTTTCCTTCCCTGGGAAGAACCATTAGGAAGCTGTCGTGTGATGTCATTAAGTTCTCCTAATTTGGGACCGTAACCAGTACCAGATTCTTCCACAGCGTGTGTCACTTAAGCTGTGTTGAAGTAAATCTTGTCATGTAAAACTTCTCATCACCCCTGCGAGGATATGAAAGTCAGGCATTTCTTTTGGGGGTTTCTCTAAGGGAACTTCTCTGGCCCGCCCCATCTCTCTCATGGTATCTCTCTCCCTTCTTTCCTCCCTAACTCTCTTATTCTCACTGTTCATGAAGCTTCTCTTCAGATTTTAAGGGAAGCCACTCCTTCCCTGTAAGGCCCCTCATGACTCCGACTCAACTGTATTGTTTCCTATCTAATCCTCCAAGTAAACAGGATTTCTGAAGTGTAATTATGTGTTAGCTTCCTTTCCAGAGCCACGAGTTGCTGCTTCAGTTATTACATTTAACAGATAGACTGTTATAGAATAAGCCAGGTGTTCGCTGTAATTCCTTTAGTAATAGTATTTATGCCCAATTAGATTCAACATCCTGATGGATTGAAAGGGTTAGACTAACTTTGTAACCTGTATGTCTTCTAAAGCCTATAGTTTTGAGTTTTAGGTTCAGGTTAAACTAAAGCCTCTTAGTACCTTTCCAAATGTGATCCTATCTGTGAGGACAGATAGAAAAAAAGCGAGTAAGCAATGACCTTCACTCAGCAAAAAAGGACCAGACCCTTGTCTTTCAGATAGTGTTTCTTAGCAACCAACCCAGATGGCCCCAATTCTTCTTCTGAGTAGCTCCTGACCTGCAGCCAAAAGTCTGCAGCCCCAGTCTTCAAGGATGAGCTAACCACCCCCACCTTCAATTGCAGCTGCATCCACACTTGGCAGGACTGACCAAGCTTGAGCACCTAAGACTAACCAATTATCTTACTTTATAGCTTCCCCATCCAATCCTAAATTGCCAAAACTGCAATTTCAAATTTCCCGCAATTTTTCTTTTAAAAACCTAAGGTCTTTGTCTCCCGGTGCCACTCTTTGCTGACTGGCAGGGGTGACCCCATTGCACAATGGTTGATAAACCTCTTGCTTTTGCAGTCCGTGGTCTGTGAGAGTTTCTGGGAAGGGCGCGATCTTGAACTCCTGAGCTGTGAGACCCCAGGTCTTACAGGATAATGGAGCTAACTGAACTAAAATATGAAAATTAGCTAATGAAAAACTGAAAGATGGACTATTAAAAGGCAACAGACACAGGGTAAATTCAACAAATGAACCATCTCTAGGTGATTAAGAAAACTCTTTCTTTGTGATTGACCAAGATAGTCTAAAAGGCTGTGAACACCAAAAATGAACCTTGTGAAAATTTGCAGGTAATGATGGCTCAGATCTTTAATCCCAGCACCTGAGGGTTGGGGGAGGAAGAGGCAGGCTGAACTCTGTGAATTTGAAGCCAGCTTGGTCTACATACTGAGTTCCAAGGCAGCCAGGGATAAATATTGAGATCGTGTCTCAACAACAACCCCTAAAATTTTCATGGTGAAGACAAAAGA